CCAAAAAAAAAAAAAGTCAGTCTCCTGGAGTTTGCTGATGCGTAGAAACAAGCCGGAATGCTATCTTACCCGTAGTCATCTACAATACTGTTTATTCTAAAACACATTATCCATAGCTGGAATGAGTATAAATGAATATAAACAGCTAAACTTAATGAGCCCCCACTTTTGTTATTTATTTTGATCTGTTCAATCCAATAAACTTCTGAGTTTTTAAGTTTTCTGTGAAGATGCTCTAGATGTTTGTATTTGTGCCAGCTTGCCCCCCAACACGCAAGACTGCTTAGAGCTACACAGACATGTTGGGCTTAAATCACAGGAACACTCACTTCAGCTAAGCAGTACATGGCAAACAGGAGACTCAAATTCTCACACCTTGCTAAGGAATTTAGGACTAAATTTGAATAACTGATTTGGGCACCATAAGCGTGTCTGGGTGGGTAACTACTAAAGTACAGGATTGTGATTCATCCAGTAGCTATTGTCTTGTGCAGGTACTAGGACACTTACTTGTGCAAATGCCTAGAAGTGCAGGTGCTTTCATAGCCGCACATCTTGCTCCTACTTCAGCCCGATCCTAACGCAGGAACAAGGCTGCCATTGACCGTCCAGGCACCGCAGGAGGCTGGCAGTCAGTGCAGGGCTGGGAACCCCCATGATGCGCATCTCTGGCAGACACCTTTTCAAGGCAGGGTGGGAAGAGTCAGTAGGTGGGAATGGGATGGTTGTATCTATTTTTGATATAATGGCCTCGAGTGTAAAACCTGGGCTCCGATCAAGATTCCTGGGTAGCTGGTGGATCTTATACAGGTGGTTGTCAGCTGTGAGAGACTGTTAGGAGGTTGTTGAGAGTGGGGAGCAGAATCTGTTGCAGGGCTTCACCCGCAGCCACAGGCTTAAGCATTTGCTCAAGGACCAGGTTCTTTTTTTTTTTTCTCTGCACTTCTGTCTACTGACACTTACAGGGAGAGTGTTAGCTGGAAAAACATCAACAGCTTCCCTGCTTCTCCCTTAGCACAGGGGAGGGAAAGGGAGAGAGTGAGACGGAAGGATGGAGGTGAGCAGCTGAGGTACTACGCTTCTTCACCGGGCAGAGGGAAGCAGGTTGAGGGGTGTGCATAGGAGGTGTCATCTGTTCTCTGTCATATTTTGAAAAAGAGGTAGAAATGCAGGGGAACTGTGGAGCATCTGTTCCCTTGTGCGCAGCAGAAATGGAGCAAGGCTAATGCCAAGTGCTGCTTCTGTTTTCCGTGGTGGTTCTGGTCAGCTCACCCTGACTGGTTCCTAGCAGAGCTCCTTTATATTAGCTGGGGAGTCCCAAGCATCGTTCCGCTGTCATTTGTAAGAGTGAACCTTGATCAGCTCTTAGGAAAAAAAAATTATAGCTTAACCAGAGAGATACTGGTCCCTGGATCCCAAATTGGCAGGGACGCTTGCCTCTAGAACTCAGCCCCAGAGTGATGGCATTTCAGACACTGGCAAGTAGCTTAGCATTTCTTGCCTAGTGGATGTATGTGGATGTAGGATTTTGTGTTAGGTTTCCCTCCTCTCCATGTGGGTATGGCATGCCTAGGAACTTGGCAGAGTTCAGGCATTACCCATGGGACCCACATACTTTACTGATCCTACTCTTTGAGCTTATTTTCCTTGTTAGTTCTGCCTGCAAACACGTGCTTCTTGTAGCTAGCACATTGTGGGGTTTTTTTTAACATTCTCTTTTAATTTAAAGGTATATTTTTTTGTCAAATTGTAATAACCACTGTTGTTGGGGGATCAAAGTATTCATAGCACTGTGTACTTTTACAGAACATTGTCTATCTCCTCTTAGTATTTCATTTACTTTAAGTGAGTAGAAACATGTGTTGGTTATCGTGGTGTTTTGATTTGTTCTTCTTAAAGAAGAGAGGACAGTTATACCTAGTTAAACTCAGCAGGGTCTGAGGAACAGACTGGAAATTTAAAAGGGAAACCTGAATACAAGCACTCTTGATGAATCAGTCATGTACCAACACTGAAGCTGACTGCTGTGAAAGCATTCCTTTTTTTATCAAAAATCTACTCCCAGTAGGAGCACTTCACCCCTCTCCTTTGTGCCCCACTGCTAGGTTATTGAGTCTCTAGCTGAGGCTGCTGATAAGTACATACTGGGAAATGGAAAGATCTGTGCATCTTACATTTGGCCCTGCAAATCCATCCCATGCGTGCTAACAACTCACTTTTTTCCTGGACCTCAACAGGTGCCAGCTGCTGCATTCACCGTTCAGTCAGTACCCCCTACATTTATTCACGTCTGGGGCAGCCTTCCAGGGGCTCCGTGGCTGATGATCTTTTTCTCGGCTTCAGTGTTTGGAAGCACCAGGGTTGTATTTGCTGGGTAAGGAAGCATTCCGGCTCTTTCAAAAACAAAAAAGGATAAATCTCAGTTCAGCTCCCATGACAAAAGTGCCACAAATAAGGAGAACATCTAATCATTTGAGTGCTTCATCACGAAAACAGTGAGGATGGCTCCCTGCTCCTCCAGCAACTGTGGAGGATGCCACTCACGGAGATGTTCAAGGTGTGTTGTCGAACAGTGAACAACTGTGCTAGATTGCAGTCCCTGTTCCGTCCCGGCCAGGAGGCCGAGTCTGTGTTCTGTCCTTCTGAAGAGTTCCCAAGAAAAGGCAAGAGTGTTGGCTCACATTTCTAAGAGTGGAAGCTGGCGACTAGATGATTTACATCCCTTACATCCCTCTATCCACCTTCCTCTCCTCTCAGTTCTAGCCGAGGTGCTCGCTCTTCACAACAACTGACCGGCTTTTATTTCTCCATCATGTGGCTGTGCAGTAATAGCATGAACACATACGAGAATTTACAGAATTAAAGATTAGAAGCCTTTAGCAGCCTTATATACCATCTGGGGTTTTTTCTTTTTTAAATGGAAGATGCCTGGCAAATTAAGCAGCCTTATTAAAGCAAGGTCAGATCCATATCACTTTCACTGGAGTTTTGATTTCATTCTATATTACCCTCTTCACTTATGGAATGGCCCTGTCTTTCAAATTGGCTTATGACTAGCGTAAATGTACATTCTTTTCCTTGTGCTAAAAGACTGCAAGTACAATAGAAATAATTTCCATATTTACATTTTAATTTAGTGTTATTTGTTAAGGTGACTGCATCAAAATCTGTGCCTTTAATCTTCTTGCCACCTTTATCAAAGGACTACCATTTGCGAGGGGAGATTTTTTTCCATTTGATACTGAAGTTCAATCAATAGCTTCAGTGGGTTTAAGGTTATAGTAAGTAGATTACTAATAGGCTAAATATAATATCTGGCGCCACTGTCATTAGAACGACCCCAGCCTTTTCAGACTGCTACTAAGTGTTTTGAAGAGCAAGTGTGTGTATACTTAGCAATAGGTATGTCCCCTGAGTTCAAACTGATCATTAAGGTAAGAAGGAATGACCCTCTCTGCAGCTTGGGGATGACAAATGGCATTCAGGAAGATAGTGGGATACATATCCACTTTGACAGGCCAGCCGGCCTTGTGCAAATGCTCTTGGTTTATCAACAAAATAGCACAACCCTCATTTGTTTTTCGTCCCAAGACAGACACTGTTATGCCAGGCCATAGGCAGAAATCTACTGATACGCAGCATCTCTCTTCGGGTTTTCCAAGGCATCTGCCATCTTACCCAACAACCCTTATTACCTAATATATAGCATTTCTCACTCTCAAACACTTCGCAAATGAGATCAATTTCATTATCTCTGGATGGCAAATTAAGGCAAGGGAAGAAGAGGTATTTTGACTCATCCAGGATCAAGTTGAAGACCGTGACCAAACAGCAGCCAGAATCTAGCGTTTGGTCTACTGGGAATTTCCTTTCAGATGGGCAGCTTTTAGCATTGCCTACCAACCTCGACTCCTGGTCTTAAGCTTGGAGAGGTGATTTCCTAAGAAAAGCCTGCAGTAATTTCCCATTATGCCCCACAATGGACACCTGAGCTACTCCAAAAAAGTGGAATGACCTGTGTAAAGCCTGTGGGCCCCGCACAGCAATTTGTCTGCCACAAAGCCAGTGTATCAATCATGATGTGCAGACAGCGTGGAGCATGAGCTGGGAAACCCCGCCAGCCCCTGGCATGCTCAGCCTGGAGCTAGCCCAGGTGGCCCTGGGGTGCAGCTAGCCACTACACAGACAGCCCACGTGTGGGTAAGCGCTTGACCTCGTCCTCTGAGGATGGCAGTGACTGTCAGCAGCATCCGCCTTCCCAGCTCGCTGGGCTGCTGCATCATGGACGCCATGGTACGCACAGCCGGGCGGGCAGGAGGCTTTTGTCAGGCAAAGCAGTTTGTTATGACAGGATACGGCTGCGATGGTGTTCTACGAGCAGTGCCCAGCGAGCACATGCACAAGTTCCTCTGCGGTTCTCGTTGCTCCCGTCTCGTACCAGATGTAACTTCCATAGGTAATTGGTTCGCAGCAGTGCTTTAGAAGGGCTTTCTAGTGCCCTTTCAGCCAGTCAGTGCCCTAGACCATAGAATTCGCAATTCCTTCTTTGCCACTCAAGTGTGGTGTTTCAGTGACCCTGCTGAATATGTCAAAACCCTCTAAGCAATCAGCTGAACACCCACAAAACCTGTGACTTGATGATATCATGCCTTTTCCTCCTTCAATCTACATTTGCAATTGTTTCTTACAGAAACGTCTACATTTTTTAAAAAATCACTTAGCAATCTGGCAAGTACATACTCAGTTATTTTAAGCTTCTTTAAGGATAAATCATTAGCTTTAGTCAGCCTAAGATTGGAGTCTGTGTATCACCTGGTCTGTTATAATATAAGATGCTGAACACCCTTCTGTCGTGAGTGAAATGTGCTTGGTACAACCTGCCTAGATACATAGATGACCTCAGTCACTGTAGTACATGATTCATCAAATCCAAGGAAAGTGGGATGGGATGTTCTTCCCACGGTGCAGGTAGGAACAGCAGAAGAACTGAGACACAGGCAAGTAAAGTGTCTCAGCCAGAATCACACAAAAAGGTTCTTACAAAACTGAGGTTCAGACACTGGTTTCTCAGATCTCAAGCAAATACCCTGAACGGGGGAGATCTCACAGAATTGGACTCATGGTCTCATATTTCTTAAGTCTCTCTTTATTCCATGCTGCTAAGGAAAATGATGGTTGGCACGAGGCTTCGTACTGTGCCTGTCCTTTCTCTGACACTCTGCAGCTTGCTAGACATGATTTGCGTGTCGTTTACCCTAACAAAAACCCTTGCTGGGAATATATGTTGGTGTTGAGTAGTGGTATGTGGGACTGGAAAAAAACAGAATTCAGCCTCAGCCCTGAGTCCTGGGGACTTGAAACAGCTGGACCACAAGTGCCATTACCTCACTGCCAGAAACAGAATGCCTTATGAGGAAATGCGAACTTGAACATGACTGCAAGTACCAAAACAACTCAGGGAGATGCAGCAGTTGCTTCAAAGGGATGGTATGTAAAGGCTCTCTCATTTATAGAAACACTTTTCCCCAGAGGAGATGTGATCTGACGGCCTCTGTCTCTTTAACAGTGTTCTGGGATGTCAGTCTAGGGTGGCTGTTTTCTTCCTCTGTCGAGTTGGAGGTGATACAGGAGCAACTCTTCATCTTGAAAGCCCTTTGTAATTATTAAATTATTTGAGGAAGAGATCAGCATCTGGGAACAGGCAAGTATAAGGTAAAACGTGGCCATGCAACTAAGTTGACAGTGGCCACCCAGATCTGGGTGCAAAGTGAATGGTTCCATGTTGATACTTCAAATTCATAGACTGTCGGAAAAGGTTACTTCTCAAAGTATCAGCTTTGGGGAAAGGGCCCACAGTCATCCTGGTACAGGCATTTGGCTGTAATGAGGCAGTAAATTCTGCTATGCTTTGCAGTCATATGTGCTGTCAAGGCTTTCTTTATTCACGTGGTCAACAGAGACATGGGAGAAATTGTCAACAACTTTGGAAGCTTCTACAGAGAGCTCGCCAGTGACAGGCAACTCTGCTGGGGGTGCTGTTGTGAAAAGGATAGTAACAAACATATAAGTTGTGCATTTGCACAAAGTATTTCCATTTTTATTCTTGGAAATTGGGAAGATACCTGGTGCTAAGGCAAGCCAGTGTGAAAGTGACCACTCAGAGAGTTCCAGTGGGTATCTGATGCAAATCGCACATTTCAGCATGTACTTCTTCTGTAATTTTTAACCAATATAGATTCATCCTTTTTTCCAGTATCAGTGACTTTTTCCCTTGCTGTGTTATCAACAGCGCTATCTTTTAATCTCTGGTGAACAAAATATCATTTAACAGAAACTGAGACATCGGTGAGTATCAAACCACTGGGGATGACACTGGTGGATGTACATTTATATGCTCAACAGATTGGACCAGAGAAGGGTGCTGTGCACTTGGCCACAGCTGCTGTCCTGAATGCTCTGTGGGCCGAGCGAGAGGGAAAGGTAATGCTCATGGGATCCCAATATAAGAATGCTCATTAATTCAGAGAGATTCCTGCTCCTGCTTGCCCTCATTTGCACATCTGGTCTTGATTTTGCAGTAATTTATACATACGTTTAGCTTTAAAATATCAAATAAAGTACAGGCACCACTGAGTTCTTGGAGATTCTGCACATGCTTAATTTTTGCAGGATGGAAAATTGTATCAACTGCACAGTGCTTAGTGGTGGAATTGGTCAGAACATTTCAGAGTCATTTTGTTGGAGCTCTGGCATTTCTGAAAGAAAAGATTTTTGCCTAGCCTTGCTTATCAGATGGTTCTCTGTATGCCCTTCTCTTGATTTTGTTTTTCTTACTTGGAGATTTTAACCTGAAATTTTAATCTTTTAGCCACTTCTCTACTGAATATGCTGTTGATCTGGGAGCAAAATCTTGTATACTTAGCATGTTACTGGATATGAAAAAGAACCTATCTAGGCAGTCATGTGAGCAGCCATAAAGGCGGCATGGTTAGAAGGGGAAATTACTGAACAAAAGATACTGTCTGCTCAAAAACACTGACAGAGAAAGGGCTGCCAGCCTGGAACTGTGAGCCTGGGGACTAGCCCTGTGAACCATAAAAAAACATCCTTGAAAAGTGCAGCTGGCCTCTTTGAAGTGCAGCCGGGGTACCTAGAAACCAGAGACATCCACAGATACCACCGATAAGCGCAAAACAAGGGACTGTAACGGCAATCTATCATCTGAGAAGGTGGAAAACAGTCTGAAAAAATAAAATTGCTCTGAAGGAACAGAAAACAGCATCACCTCTTGGCTGTTACAGGTGAAAAATAGAAATTAACAGCATCTATTGGCTGCTCAATGTCCTACTCCCTCTTATGTCTCTGTGATATAAAAAGGACTTAATTTTTATCCAAAACAGAGCCTCTCTCTTTCTGAGAACTTCCCAGTTGAATCCCACACAAACTTTCTATGAGCTCTTGGGCTCTCCCCAGGGACGCCTGGCTGAAACCAGGCCCTGTGTCAAGGATCATTTTGGAAGAGGGACTCTGCCTGTTGTCTTATTGGGCTTGGTCTGTCCTCCCCTCTTTTGGGGATGGTTGGGTGCCCCTCTGGGATTGGTTTGTTTCCCCCTTTTGGGATGGTTTGGCTCCTTCTGAAATCTAATTCACTTCATATCGATATTGTATATATTCATGTAAGTAATCCATCATAAATACATCTGCTGTTACATTCTTGATAAGTTTGCTTCACTAATGATAACCTCTAGTAATCTATAATAGTATATAGTAATCTAGTACTATAGTAATAATAGTATATAAGTACTTTGTTGGTGCTGCTATTGGTTGTACTACAGTACTGATTGATGCTATTATTGATTGATACCACACCATTGATTGATACTATATTATTGATTGCTGATAGTAATTTGTAATAGCTTGATATATACTCATTCATATTTGCTTTATTAATCATAAGTATGTTTGCTAGTGGTGACTTTTCTGGTATTTGTGGTAATCTGTAATAAAACAGAGAAATTTAGAGAATAAAGCCTATGTGTCCTTGTGTATTACGGAATCCTACCAACCCACTGTCGCAATCTCTACACACCTGCAGGCCAGGTAACCCTTTAGGTCATGACAGGCAGAAACTTGCCATTGCTCTGTGAGCTTAAAACCCTTGGTATGGTGGGGTCCTAGTCCAGAACTAGCACTTCAGACCCCTGCAGGAGGACAAATAATACCTGGTACAATGTTGCTGTGGCCATATCCTGACAGGCACAGTTGGACGTGCTTGCTGTTTGCAGGCCTTCTGGTTTAAGAGGACAGAAAGAGCAAAAAGCTGTAGCTAGCACTGACGGGAGTCACCGCTGTGCACGCTCATGTACCATGTGGCTCGGGACATGCCACCGCACTACCCTGACTGTAGAGCTTGCAGGGGAGAGTTGGCTTGAGTCCCACTGGTTCAGGTCTGCCAGCATCCACTCTTTTCTTCACTTCTGCTCTGTTGGATTGAGCCTTCATGTATCATTTCTTGCAAAAGCAATCAGCAAGCTTCAGCTTGCCAAAGTCCAAGAGCATAATACAGCCCCGAAAAGAGGCTCATCAAAAAATTCACAAAAAGACATCTTATATGTCAAAAGGGTAGTTTGTATGATGATGATTTCCAGCAAGGGAGCGGGCCGGAGGGAAGTCACCATGTCAGATAGCTGGCATGAGGTGCCTTTTTTTTTTTCTTTTTTTTTTTTCCTTTTTTAATAATCACCCCACCAATATTGCTTCCATAATGAAACCAGCTTAAGAAGGATACTCAATCCTTAATGATTTTCAGGAGAAAGCGTCAAATGTTCTTGCTTGGGGTTGAGAACCACATTGCTTTGGTGTCAGTAATTAATTTTGTGTGCCAAATGTAAACATGCTTGCACTTCATGACACTTCCTCATAAAGAAAAAAGCATCTCTGTGTTATCTCTTTTATGGCATCCATGTGGTTCCAGTTATTTAATTTGTTTTGTTTTCTAGTTTCTGTGGAAGTTACTAGTCGACATGGTAAGGAAATCTTGTTATATTTCCAGTCTAAAGGCTGCTGGGCCCTATTGTTTTTAACTGTATTAGAAGAGTAGGTGTTTAAGTTGGTGTCCAAACTAAAATGGTCTTACAGCTCATTTCAGACAGAAGCTGTTTCCCTGGCAGTGGGTGTTACTTTCTTGCTCAGAGATGTCCTTCCCTCCCAACATGCCCTCTTCATGTGTCTACCCTCATGAAGAGATGCAAGCTAGCCCCTCTTCTGGGGAAGCTCTACAGTTTGTCTTGTCCGGCTCTAGTGTCACAGCTGGCAGTGGGAACTGGTATCTCCTGCTAATAGGAAGCTGTGTACTTAAAAATTGTGCTTTAATCTGTAGGTCTTTGTTTATGACTTGGCCAAGGAGCTGCTTTTCTTTAAGTCTGGATAATTGGGAGTTTGTTTTAATTTTTTTAATCGCTGGGGGCTTTTTCCCCAAAATAACTCCTTACTGAAAACTAAAAACTCGGTAATTGAACTGTATATGCTACCATTGCCTGCCAGCAAATTCTTGGGCCTAGTGTGTTGATCTGTTTGCTGAAGTGATCGGTCATTTTGGGGGAATTCTCTTCAGTTGTAAGATCTAAAAGAGCCTGTTCTAAAAGAACCTGGTTTTTTTGACCTGAGAGCAAGAGATGTTACAACAGGGGTGATTCTCTAAGTCAATTTGACAGCTGGAAACTGTGACTTGGCTTTCTTGTTTAATTTTTCACTCCTGCTTGGATAGAGTTTAAAAGGAAGCTGAAAAGGGCTTATTATCAACCACTGACAGCCATGAAGTTAGGCATACACACGTTTGACAGTGCAACGCAGGCTGATGAGGTGGTTGGCGAGGAAGGGTTAGAATATCTGCTGTCCCAACTCTCTGCTTGCTTAAGAGACATAGGGAAAAAAATGACAGCTGTTCCTCAAATGACTAGCATTACTTAATCTTTTTTTCATCATACTGTTTTATCATGCTATGCTTCTTATTTTATATGTCATCCTTGAATCGGGATGACAAACAATCGCCATTCTGCATGGATTTCAGATATACTACTGATGTGCTAACAGATGAAGAAACTTATGGTAAATCATCTTCCCTTCAAAGCTGGAATTTAGTGCACTCCTTCTTCCTAATCATTGAGTTGCCTCACCAGTTTTGGTGAGAATAGCTCAGGAGTACACCATTGAGACTAAGACAGGTTGGAGGAACAACCATAATGATGAAATCTGGAGGGTGAGGAGAAGTTGTTCTTCAGTATAATTTGATATTTATGCTTGTTCCCCTTCAGAAATACTCCAAAATGGCCTGCTTGGGAAAAAGGAAAGGGGTGAGCTTAAACAGATCTGTACCTGATGAAAAACATTACTCTGCATCTCTTAGAGAATGGGTAGGGGACTGTGTGAGATGAAGCATGTTGTTTGCTAGCATCTTCTCATCTGTCCCAGGAGTCCAAAGTCAGCCATTGGGTTTGTGCTACATTGGTGACTTTTTGCCATATAAATCTTTGTGTTGGGTTAGCAAGGAGATTATGCTAGGATTTATCCAAGGATTTATCTGATTTGCAGTTCTCTTGTAAAGAAACGGCTAGGGAGAAGATGGAAGGGCTTATTCAGCAAAATTGATCTATTCAATTAAAATTATGGGTTTCAAGGAAAAAAAGAAGTCAAAACACCTCCACTCCTTCAGTTTCCTCAAAGGACAGTCTTTGAGGGACTATTTAACAAAATAATCCTCTGTTGAGTAAAACACAGCCTGACTTGAAACTGTCCTCATCTGCTTCAGAAGAGCAAATGTTGAAGCATGGATATCTGGCTTATACAAGATCCTGTGCCTGGCTGGGCTACTCAGACAGCAGTTAAACCAGGTTTGAATGTTCAGTCTTATAATAGTAAAATTTTTAATGGCACGTGAAGTGGGGAAATGCTAACAGATCAATTCTCACTGTTTGCTTCTAAACACTTAGAAGTTTTGCTGGATGCAGTAAAAATGTAACAGTGCATTGCATACACTTTGGGAGGTAAAAAGCAGCTCCAATGCCATTTAAGTAATTTTCCCAGTAAAGCAGAGTGTTACAGTCCTGTCTATGATCAAGGATATACCCAAGGAATATGAGTATTGGGAACAAGGAATTAAGGTAGTCTCTTTATGTTGGTATATTGTGTATAAGAGCGAGTTTGCATGGGTGCAGCTGTGTTGATTTAAGCAAGGAGCTTATGCACGTTAGGGATACTCAGGAGAGTGATATGAATTAACTGAAAGTGTGATCATTAAGAGTGTTAATGAAAACACATAAAATCTGTGGTTGGATAGCTATGTTCAGAAGCACAGTGCCCTTAACCTGCAGTAACTTCATAGATGTGAAAAGGGGATGTCTCCTTCACAGACAACATAAACCTCAAAAGTTTCATAATTGCTGGTTTCTTCTAGAACTTCTGGTCGCCTTGGCTTTGAGGGATACTCTGAAACTGTCAGCAGTAGAGGGCCCTTAGCTTCCTTCGTAAAGCAGCATCCTTATTACCAGAGAGAGCTGCATGTGCTTGGTGTTCTGTGAAATATTGTGAAAGCTTTGGACAGTTTATTGGTGTCAGATTTAGTTAATACAGCTGGGATTTATCTTCTGGGAAATATACGCCTTAGTATATCTAGAAATAGTGTTGCCGAGTCATGGGATGTTCATACCTGTATTATAAAAATGTATCATATGTTACAGTTAGCTGGGTTGAGGAGTTTGGTTCAGCTGGATGTTATTCATATATCTGATCTCATTTTCTGATGGTTTTCTGCCACCTCCTAGGAAGAAATAAAAAGCTTATTCTTATTCTGAAAATGTGTAAATTAATATTATTCTAAATGTGGTGTGGTAGAGTTATTTGGAGATGTATAATTGATGTAACTTTGCTTTCAGTTACGCACATAGGCCTTGAGAGAAGGCTGGACAACGTATAGTAAACACTTGTATTGAGTGTTATGCTTCTGTATTGAACAGATGGACTAGACCTAGTCTAACTCTTCCAGGTCTATGATGTGGGCAGGGATGACTTTGCTTCTGTATCTCTCTCAGACACTTCCCTCTTCTACTACTGCATAATGCTGCATTGCAGGAAAACAGTAATGGTATGGCAAAGCTGAGGGCTGGTCATAAATGAAGATAAATGTGTTTCCATTGATTTATAAAAAAACATTGCTGTTTTATTTTCAGAGTAGGATGAAGCTTACTCACAAGGGAAGAGAAGTAATAAGAAAGTTCTTTCCATAAGACAGTGATGCCGAAATTGTAAATTCTAGTTTATGGATTCCAGTTTACTGCTGCATTAATCATTCAGAAGTGATCTATATCTTGTTCCAAATATGCATCTAGGTTCAAAGTAAAGGTGGGTGCAGATCTGCAGGACGATATCTGCAGATGCAGATTTATACGAGAAATGATTGACCCAGACAAAATAATGATGAATATCACTTTTTGCTACTATTCTGTTATTTTCTATTTAAAACCATTAGATGAAATATCTCTCATTATATACATTTCTTGACAAATTTTTTTTCTTCCTTCTTCAAATCCTGAATAATTATGGCAACAAATGTTGATATATATTAACAAACAGCAGTATTGGACATGACCAAAACAGATTAACTATTACTAAGAGTTTTATCCTGTATTTCTGTGCCAGAACTTCCTTTCAAGTCTGCGGGGGAACCCCACTTGCAGGATTGTCTTCTAGAAGATTTTAAGTGCCTTTTATATCCAGGGAGGCTTCCAGAGGAAAGCCTGTTAATATTTTTTCACCGATGTTTGGCCAAAAATAAACTGGAAAAGAAGTTTTTCAAACTAAAATATTTGAATGAAAAGCAGTAATTAGACAGAAGTCACACATTTTGATTTGGAAATGTGGATGGATTCTATGGGCTGGATTCTTTGCTATGGGCTGGATTCTTTGCCCCATGTGTTCCCTGACACGCCACAGCTGCCAACCTACTCTGGGTGCTGCAGTACAGCACAGGGCTTTCATGGGATGCTATATATCATGAAATGCCGAACCAGGAACTCTGTGAATATAGGACGGCAAAGACCTGAAGAGCCTGCAGAGGAACTGTGGCGTCACTTTCAGATGTTTCACTTTTTGTAGGGAGAAAAATTCTCCCTTGTGTAGGAGAGAAGTGCTGCTTGAGAAACTCATCTTATTTAAACTACTGCATTTTTTGTCAAGAAGGTTTTCTGCTGAAAATTTCAGGCAGCCATCTCCATGTTTTAGGATGCTTTACTCAAGTATATGCTGCCAAGATATACTTATTCCCACAGAAGACTCTGCTCTACTTTGTGCAGCTGCTGCTCTGCTTGGTTCAATCTTAGTCTGGATATTGCTATAGGCATTGCAACTCAGCGTAAGTGTGGCAATACAGACAGAATGGCAATTTCAGCTTTTCATTTCCTTTCTGTTTCCTGAATTTCTACCACTTCATATGAATTTTGCAGCTCTTTTTATGAGAGTTTGACAGAAAAAAGTCAATAGAATCCTTCAGTGTATTTGATTCTTATTTTCCTTATCCCCAGATGCTGGATGCAAACCAACAATGGGAAATAAAGGAAGCAATACAGTGGGTCACTAACCAGCTGAGTTTAAACCCTCGTGGATTAAGGGGCCAACTTTTCCAGATGAGGATATGCATGTCCAGATGGGACATGCAACCATTCCAAAGGTTGGAGAGTTATTTTTTTATTTCAGTAGTAATACAGTGAGTCCAGTCAGTACTGTAGTATAATGTTGATACTGTTCCTTCACATATTCAGAGTTCAGGTTGAACTAGTTATTCAGAGTACCATTAAATGTATTTGCTACAGAACCTTGACACACATTCTGCACCCGTATTCCCTTAAGTTTAAAGATATAGTTTGTTTCTTAAAAAAAAATGTAAAAGCACTGTAATGCCTGCATGAGGAAGGCAGCCAACTTTTAGTATGAAATGTGAATGGACTTTGTTAAAAAAATATGTGGTTTCCAGTAAAATTGGAATTTCAGTTCAGAATTTGTGCTCCCAACACACTATACTTAGCAGCACTAAAACCCCAGATGTATAGTATATGCATTTTTTTACTGCTCCGCACACCCTGCTACATAATTCTTGACATTACCTGTGGAGCAGCGAAAGCAGAAAAAAATCAATAAAAAGTTTTATAATGTGCATTATACTTTCTATAAAATGAGTAGAAAACAGGATGCTGAATCAACAGTTATTCCATCCTTTATGCTGCTTGAGTAACTCTGTTGGGAATTAAAAACCAGAAGCAAGTCTTGAATGTTTGTTACTTCCTTGCAGACCTTAGCGCTGCTAGGAATTGATGCGGCAACCAGAGAACATGTAAGAATATGTATACACGTTTTGGGCTTTTCCCTAATTATTACCTGTTTAATGCAACTACGGCATAACCTTTGGAGCTGGTGCCAAAACTCCTTTGTTTTTCTCACTAAAGTTAAATACTACAGCTGAAAATTACTTGGTATCTATTTATTTCAGCTATTCCCTACCAAGGTTGCCTCCCCTCACCTTATCTCCATGGTTCATTCTTCCCACACACGATTTCTGTGACCAACCTGGAAATATCTGAATTTTTTATTATTATTATGAGAGTAACTGCTAAAATTTCATATCCTCACAGCAGTGAGAAATATGAAAGAATGCATCCGTGATCATTATTGTGCGTATGAAAGGTAGAGAAGCAAGGCACAAAGAATAAGTCCATGCTGCTCCATGCAGCACACTGCAGTTCCATGAGACTACTTGGATAACTGTGCAGAACAATGTAGGCTGGACAATGCGGTCTGTAGAGAGCTGCAGGGCTACTGAAGCTGATATCCCCTGTAGCTGCCATTTTGCTCTATGGGTTTGGTGCTTAAGCAAGTGTTTTGCTCAGCACAGCAGTGCATGTGTAGGCATGATCTTGCTGTGGCTATATGGACTGTTTTTTAGAGTGGAGAGGTTCCTGGCTCCTCATCTTGTATCAACTCTATTTGTGCTGCACTAACTCAAATGTAAAGATCAAAATCCCCAAAAATCATGCTGTTAGCAAGCTATAGTTCATTCTCTCGGTGGCACCAGGGGCACTGTCAGGGCTGCAGGGAGGGCTGGGGAGCCAGGAGCCGACAGCATGGCTGGCAGGACAGGTCTGGGTGCGGCAGCCGGGATCAACTGAGAAGGTTGCCAGGTGAAGTCATAGTGAGGAGACAGCTCTGAGGGCAGGGTCTGACCCAATGACAGGGACCAGGGTCAGACACAGCCTGTCACAGATGTCACAGATGTCAAAGACTGCCAGCCTGTCCACGATGATGAAATCGGACCCAGGTCAAGCTGGGCTGTCAGCCTGTGGTTCAGGGTCCGGATCAGTGAAGTCCATGGCTTGGCACAGCTGCAATGTGACGGGAGAGGGTCACACCTAGGGGTAGCTCAGGCAGGGACTGGGGGCCATGGCCTGAGCTGTCATGGGTCCCGAGGGCAGGCGTGAGGAGGCCTCTGGTGAGGCTGGACCTCAGTGCCCTGACAGCAGCTCCCCCCAGAGGGATGTGTCCTCTTACTCGCCAGAGATCTGGGCTCAGATGAAGAGTGATTTAATTGCTGTGGGGGTAGGGGGCATTTCAGGGGACACAGAGCCAGGGCAGGGACAGGGAGATGGGAAAGGGACATGGCGCGGGGGATTGGAGCCAGGTGGGGGGCTCAGGCAGACCCTCAGTAGCCCTAGAGGCTTGGCAGGCTTATGGGGAGG